TGCGATTAAAAATACAGTTACAAGAGCTAAAAAATAGCTGGAAGCAGTTTTGTGAAAATGTATCTGTCACTTTGATATATAGACAGATAATGAATGCGTGTGAAATTAAATCTCAGCAGAAAAATTAACTGCATTGATACTAAATTATATGCACCACTAATGTGAGTAACACTGAGACCTTGGCAGATGCTTACATAAGAGGTAGCACCCTGGAATATTGGTCAGGAAATTTTAAGTAATGGCAGTTCTTTATTTTTATTAATTTGCTAATTTGGTATACATCATAGACTAAAAGGACTATTGAAAAGGAAGAACGCTGCTAACACAGATCACATAAGAGCTTTTGAAAATAAATTAAAAGACTAAAAGAGAAGGGAGAAAAGAGAGGGTGCACATGTCTTCTTGTATCATATCTGGTGCTTAGAATTCATCTACCTATTCAGACAGAAACCATGTTCTTTCTGTTGCTGAGAGATCAATCTAGTGTAATTGCCATAAAGACTGCAAAGTTCTGTCCCACTGCAATTACAGTTGCCAAGAAAACTGCAGGGACTTGTCCAGGCAGTCGCCAGGAGTCAAGACTGACTTGAAGGCACAAAGCTACTGTATAGCCTTCCAGTGTACTCAATATTCTTCCAGACGACAGATTATTAGGGTGTTTTAACTGTGGGTTTCTCTGTGTAAGAACTGGAGAAGTGTTTAGGTAACTGTATAAATACCCCTTCAGGTGGAGATGCTCTTATGCTTATGATGTTATGGAATCTATCTCAGGACTGGATAGTAAGGTTACTTGAATTGTATATAGAATTGGAGGCTAGATAGTTTGCCCGAAAGTTGGAAAAAATGCTGTTGCAGTTTCAAAGGGTAAACTAATAAAGTGTTGTCAAACCTATCTGCTAATGGACTGAGAACATTAAGATAATGGTCTGTACTGTGAATCATAGGTTGATTTATATCTCGAGAAAAATAATTTATTGAGTGATACAAAGTGAACTCTTGAGGTCAACAGAGTATGGAACATATTATTCAACTGAAAATTCAAATTTGGAAATGTTTGATGGTAAAGATTTTTTGGGAAGCCTTTGAATGGGCATATGCTGATATGGAAGGCTGATTTGATTTTAAAAAATAATCTAACTGGATTTGTAGGTCAGAATATTATGGTATTTTCAGGACTTCTTAACTGAGAATGGTACACATTTGAATGGGTAATGCATTATCTGGGCCACAGCCTATGGTGAATGGAATCCCCCAAGGAAGTGTGTTTAGTACTACCATTTTAATCAAATGACAAATAATTTGCCTTCCACATATTATTGTGCTATATGGATTAGGAGTAGAAAAGAGGACATCACTGTGAGAAACCGAAATAAATTTTAATTAATTTCAAAGAATATGGAAATTCATGGGATTCTGGATTCCTTTGACTAAGACAGTGAACAGTATATTTACAAAGAGAATATGATCAGAGGAGTTAACACTAAATCTTTATAATGAGCAGATCAAACTAGTGTCTATTTTTAAGAGTTTAGGTGTATATTTTGATTAAACATTGGAAACCATCATTTAATTGGAGTAAACCTCATGAGAACCTGTTACGAAGTATCTCAAGTAAAACTTTCATGGCTGATTAAGAAACATCATTGAAGTTCTCTGAACTTTCATTAAGATTGTGGTGGAATATAGTTGTCAAGAGTATATATCAACTTCAAAATAATTGTGGAGTAGACTGGCTGTTATCCAGACAAAGGCTTTGAGATTGATTTGATTTGTAGAGCCCTTGTTATCTCCCTTGAAGTATTCCACAGGGAGAAGAGGAAATAGCCTGTGTGTTTGAGATGGAAATGATCAATCTTTAAAGCATACATTTATAGAAGATGAAGAACAAACCAAAGAAAACACTTCTTGACAGAGGGCATAATTAACCTGTAGATTCATTAACTCAAGATGTGATGGTCACTAACTTGGATAGTTTTAAAGGGGGATTGGATAAATTCAGGGAGGTCAGGTATATCAAAAGCAAGAAGTCTTTAAATATCAAATGTTTCCTCTGGATTGGCTTCGGATTTCACTTTCACAAATTTGGAATTGTGTCGGGGAAGAGATATGCATCTGTCTCTTGCTTTTGAGCACCCCATCAAGCATCGGCTGGCCACTGTTAGAACAAAACACTGAGCTAAGATTGGCCTTGGCTTGTGTTCTTGCATGATTTTAATGGCCACATTTTGCTCTTGAGTGCACAATACGGTCAGGTTTTTTTCCAAATTGCCAGTATGGAGCTCATTCCAAATCAGGTCTATCATGCCTGCAATTTTAATAGCCAAAACTAAAAAAATCTCCTTGAATGAGCAAAGATATTTAGTTAGGCTTGGAAGACTGATCGTGTAGAAAGGGAATTATTGTTATTGCTTTGCATTAAAATTAGGGGAAATGGAGTCATAGCTATTTAAATCAGTATTTGGAAGGGAGGAATCTTTCCATGGTCAATATTTTACTATCCCTAAGACAGAACTATCACAAAAAGTGTGACTTTTTGTATCACTTCAAATGTCACACAAACAGTGCAATTTTGTATGTATTTACCTGCCAGTGCTGTTATGTTCAGTGATCTTACTCCAAGATAATTATCTGTTCCAAATGCCCTTGATAAAAAAAAAAAAGTTATGTTTTTTCATGGATCTTTTGGATTTGCTCCCTGCCTTTCTATCCAGAAAACACGCTTCTAATGTCTAGCAACAACAAAATGAAATCTGAAAACAAATTAAAAATTAAAAACAATTAAAATTACATACAAAGTTAAAATAGCTAAAAACAAAAATGATAAAATCATGAAAGCAATTCGAAAGGCCATAAAGAGTTTTGAAATGCTCTCTGCACAATTAGGCAATATAACTGCTGATATCTTTAAAATGTGTGACAGATTAAAGTGTTTTCTTTATGAAAAGTATATGCTATAATAGTATTATAGCAATATTATTGTATAATAATAGTATTGTAGCAATACTATTGCTACATTTCAAAATATATTTGCTCAATGTATTTTCAGTGTTTCAGTGCCTCAATTTTCATGTATAAATTCAAATTTTAAATTATATTAAAAATCAGGAACTTAAAAATGAATGTTCAAGTCTATACCAAAGAATTATGTTGCACTATTGTAAAAATGTTAAGTGAATGAATGTGCTAGTCAGCAGTATATGGTATAATTTATTATTATTCTACCATTGGAAAAAACCTACTTTCAGCTCCAATAAATACTCCTTAATGTGATCACTGATATTCTCATTTCCTTTATGTTATTCAGGATATTAACTCTCAGCTTGTAATACATTTGCAGCAGCTGAAGACATTTTTTTATTTGATGAGACTTGATCACTTGAATAACTTGTTCTAATTAGCTCTAATTGGTTTCTCTCTATGAAAAGAATAAATTGGGTAGATCACAGTTAATATCCCCTAGAAATAAAAGAAATGGTAAATGGTTTGGATAATGACATATGGCGGAATGTACCTCTGCGCCACCAATAGTAATTCAGCTAACGGGAAGAGCTGATTGATAATATCATCACTAATACTGTTGTAAGGAAATAAGACACATCACTGGTTATCAAGTGGTGAGAGCATCTATACTTAGATTTTGTACTTGTTTTGGTTTTTATGAAACTATCCTGCATAAATCTTTCTTGTGTCCTTCCATTTTAGTAAAAAAATGGAGAACGGCTGCCAAATTTCAGGTGGAATCCAACCCAACAGGCTAGTCCATTAAACCATTTGTGAAGCTCTGATTTTCTTTTTCCTCCATCTTTAATCTTGGATGAGGTATTACTTTCCCATTCAAGAGTGGTGTACAATTTGGGAGGTTCTCCTGGACTCACAGCTCATGCTCAAGGAGCAGATGGCAGCTGTGTCCAGGAAAGCCTTTGCACAGCTTCAGCTGGTGTGCCAGTTGCACTCTTCCCTAGATCAGGAGGCCCTTCAGTCAGTGACTCATGACCTGGTCACCTTGAGGCTTGACTACTGCAATACACTCTACATGGGGTTGACCTTGAAGACCACCTGGAAGCTTCAGCTGCTCCAGAATGCAGTGGTGTGGGCATTCCCCAGTATGCCCATGTAAAACTTCTGCTTCGCAAGCTGCGCTACTTGCCAGTTTGCTCCTAGGTGTGATTCAAGATGCTGGCTATTACCGATAAAGCTCTACGTGGCATAGGGCCTGGTTACTTGAGGGACTGCCTGCCTCACATATACTTGTTCCTCAGTTGACTGCATAGTCATGTATGAACAGGTATCACTGGTTTAACACATAGCAGACTGAATCTTGAAAGGTCTTTATGTCCTTTCAAATGTATTGGTTTCCAGTAGTTACAACCCATTGGCCTGTGAAAATCAGCCCTGATTCCATTCAAAATGGAGTTTCAAAATGGCATTTTTTGATTTGAGTTTGTGATTCAAGATTCAAGTCAACATAGTTCAACTCAAGATACTTTGACACTTGAGTTGGAAAAATAATGATTTGTCCATAAAATATAATGATGAAACAAAACTAATTGAAGCTGCATTTTTTGTTGGATTGGAATATTAGCAGGGATAGTAGACTCTTCTGGATATTAACCCTGTCAGTTTTCAGCTGGATACCTTTTTCTGCAATACATTTTGGAAATGTCCTCCATCCCTGTTTTGGGGCAGAAATAACAGGCATGAAATCAACACAGAAAATCTCCAATTCCAGTTTAAAAATACAGGCTGTTAACTTTTTCCCTCTAAAAACTAAGCTCTTTCCTTTT